AATAGGCATTTGTCAATGTTTTTTTTTTTTTTTTAATTTTTTGAAAAAACATATTAACATCAAATCCATAGAGGAAATCAAACCAGTATTTTTTTCATAAAATTTCAAGTTCCATTGCAAAAAAAAAAAACAAATCAAACAACAACACATTTTATTACATGTACTTTTCAAGGTATTGAATGGACTTTAGAAAGGATTGGAGGCGTTTTTTTCCGACCAGTGCACGCAATACGATATGCTACTGATACATTATTCGTTTGCATGTGCATATCAAGTTGACAGTTGAATATGCAGCAACACATACCTAAATAACATCAATTAAGTATTTTATTTTGACGATCATTTACAATTATAAGTTCTGATCAGCATGCACAATGCTATTCTTCAAGAAATTACATTATACAACAAATATTTGAAAAGAAACATGCTCATTCCCACTTTCGTCGGCCATTAGTCCGTATCGCATAATTTCACCTCGCTTAACGGAGTATCGCACCGCTATACGTTCGACCCCCTGAAGAGGTCGCAAATTTTAAGTACTATTTTTAGAAAAAAATATTAGATTTTATGAATGAAAATCATTACTGCTTTGTCTATAATTATACAGGTTGAAATGTTGAGCTATATAAAGGGGATTTTCTCAGTTTATTTTTCTGCTGTTGACAATTTTAAAGAATAGTTAGTCAAAAGTTACTGTATCAATCTTGTATACCATAAAAAGTACAAATATATATTAACTTTTTGCAAGTATATGCTGCACTTAGTTGCACTGTTGTTATGCAAAATTGAAATGACTTCTTTAGTGGCGAATGACTACAAAATCAAAACATGCACAACATGCAAAAGGTCAGATTTCAATTTTGAATAAAAAACAATTAAGTTCATCGTTCATTGGGTTTTTAAGTCTAGCTAGAATACTGAAAAAAAAAAACAAAGCATTTACCCAATCCTTTTTCAACAAATCATCATTATTACTTGTAGTATCTGTAGAACTATATATACTACGAATTTGTAAGATGCAATGTTGTACAAATGTTATGCTATTGATGTATATTTATGTTTCTTGTACTTATGTTTGTATTGCACAACAGTCTGTATATCTGAATTACTTGTGCACCGTTTTGAACATTGTTAAGGCATTTTAGCACGCGCAGCATTTAGTCGTGCAAGGAACCGTGCAGACTTGTTTTACGCAAGTGTGTCGCGCGTCAGTCCACTTTTGCACATAAATAACGCTAGCTGATTGTGCTTTCGATTGGGGCTCTATGAGTGTATTGGAGTTGAAGAGTGGTTGTTGTTGAGTTGAGTTGTTGTAGTTTAAGTGTTGAAAATGCTTTAAGTCTGTTGCTAGTATATAATTGTGATGCATAATTTTATTTTAATTGATTTTATAATCATGCTTTCACTTGGACTTATTCTTTACATTTTCAGCGAAAACGTGTTTTTGACAGATTTTTGTTAAAAACGAGTAATTTCGTAACTAAATAGCCAAGTTCTATTTTATGACCTTATGAACCGTGTATAGAAATATTATTTATTAGAGACCTCTCGCATGCTTCTTTTTAAAGAAGCAAACTTATATTAGACCTGGCTCTGTGAAATGTAAGCGCCGCCATTTTTAAAAGTTGTGTATTTCATAGGAGGAAAATAATTTTGTTTGATTCAGAGGGATATCATTTGGATTTGTTAGTTATACATCTTTTAAGAAGAAAGAAAACTTATTTGAAGACAAGTGTTGACAGATCTGTCAACTTTTAAAAAGCGGCTAGGAAATTGGAAGACATGGAATTTTGTGTCAATAGGGCAAAGAAAAGTGGAAACTGAATTTCTTTTTTTTTTCTATTTTTTTTTTATTCTTGAACTTGCTCATTCGTTATTTTTACAGGCAAGGGACGGCACGTTTCTGCCATTAAGACCTTCCTATCATTTCTGTAGAAATAAAAACAACAACAAAAAAAAAACGTTCAAAATAATTGAAAATAGTTGAAAATGTAGTTATTAATAATTCATTTTTCAATATGTTTTCAGCTCAAGGCAATTAAATTTATCAAAAGAAAATTCACAACACATCTTTTACGTCACATGTTTTACGACATCAATTTAAAACAGTGTAAATATTAATACAAATATTAATTTCATTTAAAATAAATCATTTTCGATGGCTTTGAATGTCAATATAAATAATTCAAATTTAAATTTTCTTTTCGTACCATAAGATTAATTAGATATCAAAGCATATCATGGTAAGCATTATTCATGCCAATCAAGTCGGAAGACTAATGACGTCCATTGGAAACGTTATAAAAATTAAAAATTACTATTATACTTTACTATGAATATACATTTATTTTAATTGAAATGTTTTTTATGTAAAGATGGAAACCATTTTGAGGGTAGGAAGCTAAATAATATACTTTATCATCATCAAGAAAAAAAAATGTTTTGTTGAGTTTTGTTTTGTTGGAGTTCAAAGCCGACTGACACTGTCAGATAGAGATTAATTCCTGGAATCACAGGTTCTCCTTTTTGTAGTTTTTCAAGCAATTGTGGACTAGCTTAGTTAAGCCATCAACATTCATTAAGCTTGCCTAATAGCTCCCTCGCATGAAAAAAAACAACATCAAAACTCCCTTGCGGGATTCGAACCTACAATGATACAGGACACGTGATTTTAAGTCGGCCATGGAATTTCTTCATCTAGAAATATATTGTCACCAAATGTGTGTGAAAACAAAATTAGAAACTACTTTTATTATTTTCACTAAATTGAAAGTGTACAACACGGAAGTTTCACGTGTGCCTTAAAGTATCAACTCATAAGTACATAACGTAACTTTGCAATTGTAACTGTGCGGGCATGCTTTAACAAATCTTTTACATCTTTCGACATATATTCCATTTCACGTATTCTTTCTTATGCGACATACCCACTGTTATACATGTATACTAAAACCAATAAAAATCTTAAAAGGTGTCGCTTACTCAACAATGTACGGACATGATGTGAAAAGTACTTTACCTACGGAAATTACCGAAATAATTTAACGGAAAACATACAGGCCGTTGATGGGTAAAATACAAAATATATTTAGACACAAATTAAGCTTTAAAAATCTTTATTTACCTTCTAAGTCTTTTGAGAAGCCAAACATATGTTGAATAATGTTTTAATTAAGGGTTTAGAGCATGATACATGCTACAAAGCTGACAAAAGTAGCGCTGAAAATGCACTTATGGGGACATTTCAACTTCACGAATTCAGGATTTCAATTTAACGAAGTTAACGATAGTTCATGACTTCGATCTCTAGGTTAAAGTATCGACAGCTATATTTTAGAACATGCCCAGCAACCTTAATTGTTTTACCCATTTGACTCCGACTTTTAAGTATAAAGATCAATACGACTTTCTGAGCATGATCGGCAACTTAAGTTTAACACCTTTAACTCCGATCTTTAAGTATATAGATCGAACTTGCCCAGCAACATAAATTACTTGTTTGTCCCCTTTGACTCCGATGTTTAAGTATATAGATCAACAACACTCTCTGAGCATGAGGTAAAGCTACTTAAACATATAGATTTTTAGACGAGGAAGTGATATTTAACACTTTTTATGTAAGGTTTGGTTTTGCAGCGCACCAATTACATTTAGGTCATATGGTGCCGAAACAGAAAATATGATTTTGACTTATCTCGGGTGTTACAAACTTAAAGCATCTCCAGGGATCCAAACCTTCTCACCTGCTGGAGCTAATTAAGATATTAAATCTTCGGGAATTTATGAATTTGAAAGTCCCCACCGGTCTTTCATAGGTTTACAGGTTATCTGTAACATTTTGGTTCCCATTCCGAATTCATTGCCTTTTACCACCAACCCAATACGTTATTTTGCAAAAGTATTTTTCCCGAAATGGGACATTTTAGCGCGTTTATGATCGTTTGATGAATTTATCATAAAGGACGATTAATTTTGACCGATTTAGGTATATTGTACAAGTTTTGACAAATAACAGTCAAAATAATTACCTTTTTATGCAAATTATTCAAGAAATATAAAATAGATAGCAATAGACGCCGCATCAATATCAACTTCCGGTAGATTGCCGTTTCACGATATCTTTTTCCCAAAAAGGAATAACATTTTGTAATTATCCCGAAATTATATTTAAGTGAATTCCGATGGATGGATTCAATTTAGATATAAGATAAAACATGAAAGCTTTAAAGAAAAAGTTATTGTTGCGTGAATTGTGTGGCCGAAAGTGTGCAGTTTTAAGTTCGTTGAGTCTCTAGTTATGTGTCAGCCAATGGATTTTACTAAATATGGTCATGCTAGTGAAATGTAAAATAAAAGCTGTCAAAGAGCTTGTGTTGAGCCCTTTTCTTATGCATATTATCGATTTATGTTTAAGTAATTGCCGATGTTGCTTTTTATCAATTCTTATAAATATCTGTTTGTTTTTGTTATAATTGTCGTCTTCGCCGCCGCCATCTTTGGTGTTGTTTTGGTCGTCGTTGTCACTGTTGTTGTTGTTGTTGTATGTATCATAGTTAGCTCTATAATCAAATTTAACTATAAGGCATGCATTCTGTTGAGCAATCTTAAGATATTTTTGCCCGATTTATTTTTTAAAACAAATTCTTAATTGACATCTCGTTAACGTACCTAATGGCTACTATGGTTAGGATGTCATAATGTTTTAAAATGTTACCCAACGGGGGAGTCAATACTGTTTTAAATGTAATGACGGATTGTCATAAGTGGGTGTCAAACTACTTCGTTACACCGGTTTTTAGATTTTATTCACGGCCATATATCAATGCTTCAAGCGAAAGTTCTTGATATGTAAACAAAACCATATACTTGGTTGTTATGCATTTATTGAATTATAAACAGATGAAACACCTGACTGTTTTCTAATTGGACGATTCACCAAAGATCAATAACAAGGGCATGTTTTATACATTTGCTGCTCGCATATATATATATAGCACACATGTACCATACCATAGAGACGGGACATTGATTCGGTCGTTGTTTGATTTCATTTTATAAAGCTGTAATATTTTTCTTTTAATACAATGGCTTTTACTGCTGGAATTATAATAATTAACGCTGTCCTATTCGGGACAGTTTACTCAAACAAATGTAGTTCATTTGAAGCAAGCAAGGACAATCTTAATAAAGCCTTGATCGGTCATTCCGTGTTAGAAGTTAATGATAAAAACCATCACGATTGTGCGCGAACCTGTATGTCAATGTCCGTCTGTAAATCGTTCGACTTTGACAGAAACGAGCACGTGTGTAAATTAAACGATGTTGACAAGTCGTCCGTTGATCCATCGGAGTTTGAAACAAAAAGAGGCGCTATTTTCTCTGATATCAGCGAATGGCCTAGCGTAAGTATCTCAATTTATTCACTGGAATAATACATGTATGTGAAACTTTTGGAGACGGAAATGAAAAAAAATAACTAGAGGGAAATAGTTATTCTTACATTTGAATTCTATTTGAAAAAAATATCGTTATCGTAACATGTGAATATTATTTACAGGTTTTCATGTCTAACATTTTATTGTGCAAAGAATATTATTTCGAAAAATTATCTCAGAAGTTTCTCTTTCACTCATTGCCTATAATATAAAATCATAGCGCTTACAAAAGTGTGTCTAGAAAATATGCATTTTAATAGTTCTTGTAATTTAACAAAGCAATTAATTAATGTTACTTATATTTTTTTATATTGTTTCTTCTGTTTACAGGCAATGGTTGGAAGTTGTAGCTCAAGGCCGTGTAAAGCGAACCAAAGATGTTTCCAAAATGGTGCTTCACATGTGTGCAAACACATAAGTGTGTAAAAACTTCTATTTTAACATTATTTTTACACTTTTAATTGTTATTGAATTTAATGTTGAATAATTTTTCAAGAACTATTTTTTTTAAATCCGACTTACTTATACGTTTGCGTATTGTAGGAGCTCTACTGATGTCCAAAAGTCTAAAAACACCCTAAAATTTGAATTTCTTATGCAGATCAACCAGAAAGACATACAAATGATAGTTTACAAATTAAAATCAGAAATTAAGTCATTCGTATTTTTGTGCTATTCTTAGCCTGATTTGAGTGAAAAGCATCGTTTTGGGCCGTTTTGGCAATTGCAATAATCATTTTAGAAAATTGAAGTAAGCGAATGTTCTGAAATTTTGCGCACAAGTTATAAATCTAGACCTAGATCAAACGAAAAATAATTTCCAGTCAGGTTTAGTCATAAAACTTCAGTGAAGTCTCTTTAATACTGTATAACAAATAAGATTTTTTAAAAAAACGAAGCAATAACAAAATGAAAGAAAAACTAAAAAGCATTATAAACTTAGCATAGGATACTTTATCACAATTTGCACGTGAATCGATGATCATTTAGAAATGGGGTTTTTTATTTGTAAAGTATTAACTATTGTTTAGACAATACCTTATTATTATTATTATTATTATTTCCAGTCTGTGCTTTTGATCAGAAAATTGAAAATGGTAAAGTACAGATTAGTGCACCTGGCGAAAACAAGTTCCTTGACGTAGCTCTAGTAAAATGTGACACTGGTTATGTTCCTAGTCAACAAGAGGTGAAATGTCAGGCTTCGGGAAAATGGCAGCCTGCAACGTGTACGAAAGGAAAATGTAACGTATTAAAATATTGCTGTTCTTTTCTTGTCTTAATACTTCATTCAAATTAGCCATGACGGTAGAATAAAAGTTACCATACTGGCGAGGTGGTCTTTCAAAAAAAACAAACATTTACTTTGGCACGTAAAATGCTTATGTAAATAAATGCTTTTTTATTATCTAAATGTTATTGTATATAGACAGAAAAATAGATGATATAGTGGATGGTGTCTTTTAGACGATTACATTTTGTATATTTATCAAGCTATTAATATTGTTGTTTTTTTCAATAGTAGATAATGAAGATGGATATGTCAAAATAGCAGGTATATTTACACTATAATTGTTTTAGAATTAATACAGTATCTTTCAAACGGCAAATTATTTTATTTTAAATATTATATTTATTATTTACATGAAAAAAAATTATTAGATGATAAATGTCTTTACTTTTTGCCTATTTAAGCATGTATTTCTATTAACATTGTATTTCATACAATGTTTTATTGTAAAGAAATGAAATAATAGTCTTTGAAGACAGTTTTCCTGTCGGTTCTCTTTATTCAATGGTCAGTTAAAGAAAATGTTTAATAAGACCACCATTACTACAAAACAAGAAGACGTAGCTTGGCCTACTCAATTACCTTACCTTTAAATACATCTTATTATGATTTACATTAGTTTACATGTGAGTATATTTTTATAGCAAAATTGCATCATGCATTGCACATTTACTAAATACATTTAGTTAATATTCTGGAAAGGAAAATGTCATGAAAAATAATGACTAATTGCGTACAATAAGCTGAGACCAGACATACATATATTATTACGTCATAAAAGATCTTAGACATAGTAGGATTTACCAACTATGTATAACTATTTTGATAGATAAACGTTTCTTTTGTCGTTTTTATTTACACAATTTATGATGTCATTTGGTGAAAACACTTTCTTGAATCATTCATTCCTGACGCAAATGCTTTTTTGTTCTTTGCGTAGTACCAAGTGATTGTAAAGAAGTCCTTGATAAGTTTCCTGAGGCGAAAAGTGGACAATATGAGATAGAACTTTGGACATCTGGTAAAATTCTGACTGTGAATTGTGACATGGAAACATATGGCGGTGGTTGGACGGTATGTAGATTCTTTTATTCCAATGTTTGATAAGCAAATTGTTCTTTCCTGGTTCACATACTCACGTGATAAAATTGTTGAAATATATTTACTTTAAAGACATTTCTATTTTAACATTTATTTAAAACATGATGTGCTGTTCTTCTGTTCAGTACGGACAACCAGTCAAATGGCACCAAATAGACGCCAATATCAATTTTTACTCCAATTTTCAGGCATACTTTCGATGTAAAAATACACAGACTATATTTGTTTGTTTTAATTCCCGTATAAATACACTATCGACAGAGTACGACAGAGTTTATTTCTGCCGATATTATCAATATCGTATTATATATTCTTTTCATCCGCATTCAAATATAGTCCGGTGTTGGGTAAATTATATTTTATCATCTCATTGCGAAATTATCAAAATATGATTTCAACATCTACTGTAAAGCATGAAGTAATGTGTACAACCACGTTTTTGACGTTGGAGTCAATGAGTCAATTGTTATGGGACAGGTAAATGATTAGAAGTACAAAAATTCCATTCCAAATAGCAAATTAAAGAATAAGCACTTTAGTCCTTTCTATGAAATGACCTGTAGGCCTTAGCTATATAAGACTTACGTTAAACAAATTGAGTTAAGTATATAAAGCAATAATTATTTACATAATTCGTAAGCGCTCAACTTGTTTGCGTTTCTTCTAGATATTTCATAGACGAATGGACGGGTCAGTGGACTTTTATCGCAACATTACAGAATATGAGAATGGCTTTGGGAACGTTGATGGAGAGTTGTGGCTAGGTATGAAAAAATATTTTATTCCTTGTAGCATTGACATTTTAAAACAAATGTAGTACAGTGATTGTGTAGTCACCTAAGGTACAACATCATCGCAATTAAATAAAACACCTTTTGTTGCAATCGTAAGGTAGATTTCTTAAACATGGAACAACTAGTTTGCTTACAGTAAACAAATATTTTAATTAGCGGATACACTAAGAATATTTCTTGTTGACCGTATGCATTGCTTATATAAATTGTTGAAGTGTATTGATAAGCATATTAAGTTGTTTAAGTGTATTGATAAACATATTTAGTTGTTGAAGTATTTCGATAAACATAAGTTGTTGAAGTGTATTAATACACAAATAAAGTTGTTGAAGTGTATTGATAATTTAAAACATAAGTTGTTGTAGTGTATTGATAGACATATTAAGTTGTTGAAGTGTATTGAAAAGCATCAATTTTTGAAGTATATTTGTTGAAGTTTAATGCATTAGGCAGCATAGCAATAGAACGCAATTTTATTATGATTGTAACAGTTTGTAATTTTGTGGTATGAAGTGTGAAGACTGAATTCTACTTAAGATCTTGGAAAATTTCTAAATATTTTTATTTACAATGATATATTTTCGCAGGTTTACAGTATATACAAGAACTAGCTGAGCAAGGTTCTACAGAGATTCGTCTTGACATGGCAAGAAATGATAGTACAACAGGACATGAAACTTGTCAAGACTTTCAGTTAACAGAAGGAACAAATTATAAACTAAACATTGAATCATGCACAAGTGTTGGCGTGACAGGTAATTTATGCTGACGGTTTTTGGCTTCTTCTCTATTATATTTTGCTCATTTTATTTTTTTAACTTAGCTAAATGAAAGCACATCAGCTTTAAAACTAATAAAAAGTAAGCAACTGACACCAGTTACAGTATGAGGCAAAAAGAAATTCATTTTTTTCATAGAAAAATTAAGACTAGTAAACAGAATCTCTCACGAATAGTTGATTCGTCGTGTTATGTATATTATTAGTTGTAAAGATTGTTGACAGGTTATATGACCCTATATAAACGGCTATTTGTAAATATATAACCCGAGCCGTTACGCGAGTGTTATATTGCAAACAGCCGTTTATATACGGCCATATAACCTGTCAACAATCTTTATAACGAATTTATAATACAGCAATCATCATTTTTATAGAAAAAAGTAAGATTTCTTCATGAATCGACAGCAGTCGTGTATATAAAATCATATAAACGTCGTGATTATCCAATGAAAAATGACGTTACAAACGTGCAGTATTATAGATACAGTTATAAAGACACATTTTGCCTCAAAAATGTTTTTCATTTTTGTTTCGCAAAAGTTTATTATATTTTATTTCCAAAACACGAGTCATTGACTGATAATCTGAACCATCTGTTTCATCTGTCAGTTTTGGCACTTAGTACAGATATAGTGGTTTATAATTTTGTATGAAAGTCAGAATACTACCTTGTTAATATTTTGTGTCTACGTCTATGTAAATTATTTCACATTTATCGCTACTTTCGTCAAGATACAATCATCTAACATGTTTTGAAATCATTATTCTTTTCTAATTTATTGTTTCTGAGGTATACTGTGACTTTAAATTATACATAATTAAACAAATAAAAGAAGACAGAAATACAAAAACAAAAGACAGATTTCACCATTCCTATCTTATTTACAGCAGAACCAATTCATGTCTGAAATTTTAATGTTGCTATATTTTGCCTGATATAGAATATTAAGTTTTGCTATAGTCAATTTAGAGATCGTCTTTTAGTGTTCGTTTATACATTATAGTATGAAACTTTCAATGTATTTATGAAAAAAAAAGCAGAAATTGTGCATAATATGAAACTTATCATAACGTTCTTCATTCAGTCGCTGACTAATTAACCTGGTCTCTGATGGAGCAAAGTTTCCCACTGCGGTTCTACTGATCTGATATTGGATCTGCTTTGTCATAATGTAAATACGTATTATTATAATTGTATAACATCCGTGATGAACCGAATGAGGTGTTTTGTATGATTGTGGGGATTTATGAAATATGGGCTTGTCAACATGCAAACTGTCTTGACGCAATGTAAAAATTACAGTGCCAGAACTAATAAATGATGTATTTTATTCCTATGCAGGAACAGGACTTGCTTATAATCATCAAATTCGATTTTCCACTTATGACCGTCAATACGATATGTCATCAGATGGGAACTGCGCTGTAAAGGTACATGGAGCCTGGTGGTATAATGATTGTACCGCTGTCAATCTAAATGGATTATATGTGGAACCAGGCACGTTATGTGAATTTCCCGGTGCCTTGGATCGTTCTTGTGGACACTACCATTATGGGTTTGATGAAAATTATGCATTGAGATCGTCATCAATGATGATACGAAGGAAATAAAACAAGTAATCGAAATAACAGCTCTCTAATTCTTAGAGTTCGGAATGATGTACTCAAAAGATTTTTTTTTATATTTTTTTTTTTGCATTAGAAATTGTGTGAATTTTAGAATCTTATCTATGACTGTAGTCTGCTGTCATACATTGACATTGTCAGTTATCGGATTGGTGACATTATCACATAACAGCATATTATCACGTAATCAACATTAAATTACGTCACCGTATATAACTTTGTGAAATCATAAAAAATACGCGACATCATATAATCTGTTGAAATACTATTATCACAAGACAATATTTAACCATTTGTCAGCAGGTAATTACGTGACAACACAAAATGAAAAAAGAACTTTTATTTTTTAAATCCTTTTTTTTTGTTTAAATGTATATATGTCTTGTTCTGTTAGAATTTGTTTAAATCAAAATTATATCTGATGAAAATCTGAGGGCATTGTCATATTTTATGTTCAACACCATTTTTTGTGTTTTCTACAGTAAATGTGTTTCCTTTTTAACAAAAAAAAATAAGCTATTGTACGAGTAAAGAAGTTTTTGAAAAAAAGGGAAAAATAAAAAAAAAATAAAAAAATAAATAAGCAACCAATATATAGATATATTTAGATGTATAAATCAAACGTTGAACTTAATAAATTCTTATAGGGTTAGTGTTTTCATCCTTATAAACCGATAATGTTAATTATTACAAGCGCAAAATATACATAAAGCGCCAAGTATCTAAACAGCATGTGTCGCGATTATATTCTGAATAAAGTTCAAACAACGTAATATATAATTCCCTTCTATAGTGGAAAAAAATTAACTGATCAACTGGGCAAAACCCTATCATACATGTAGTTTCATAGCCTACGGACCATAATAAAATATAGTGTCGGAGGTTAAAAAAGATGTTAGATAGCCTCAGGGATATACACTTGGATCTGATATTATCCCTAAAAGTCCCCCCCCTCCCCCAGTACCTGTTACATCCCCCAAAATATAATTAAAAGTCAATTTCTACATTTAGTATTCATTACAACAATAATTTTAGATAATTTTCATTATACCTCTATAGTATTAGTTATACAAGGGTAGCGGTAGGGGATAATATCCAGATATTTTTCGAGGATTTTGAGAACATGACCCATAAACTTAAGAGATGTTTTGTTAAAAAAAATGGGGAAGAGTGCATGATTTTTGCAGTGATTAAAGGAATGCAAACACTCACTGTCTAGGATGGTATCTTTAAACATTTAATCACTGTAACATTGAAGAACCCATTATTTTTTTGAAGATTTGAGAATTACGTATTAAATAGTTATATATTGAAACTTTCGATGGGAATTCTTTCTTGTAGATAAGGAAAATAATATACTTTAATCAATTGGGAATATGACCGAATATCGGCTATAAAATATACCAAAAGGAAATCCCTGAATATCAGATCATACGTCTTATCCCTGTGAGGGAGACCTGAAATGCAGAAAAAGTTATTTTATCTATATTTTAACTGGCATTAGATATTTGACAAAAGTTGTCCAATCACTGATACAAGCAGTTTTGATATCATGCATTATTATTCACCAGTCCATTACACGTATCTTGTTTAATGTTTTCACATTTTTTTTTTGTATTTTGAATGGTTATATTGATTATATTTTATATATATTTTCAGCGTTTATGATATGTATACCAGTTGTATATTGTATGGTTCTACGTTAATCGCCTAGACCAATATATACTTTCATAGGGACAGGTTGTTTTGTAAAAATTGCAAAACAATTGTGTTATTTTCTACATCAAATGTGCTAACAAATATATAATTTCATTGTTCATTATGTATAATTACTGTGTAAAAAATGTAAAACAAATGTACACAATGTACCTAGACAAATACATACTTTTATCGTGAATAATTGTTCTGTGAAAAATGTGAAACATATCAATATATGCTTCTGCATTATATGTATAGAAAAATATATACTTTCATAGTATGTGAGACTTGTAAATACAGTTGTATTTTGTATGGTTCTGACAAATATATTCTTTCGTCGTTCATGTTGTACAATTACTGTGTGAAAACTGTAAATCAATTGTATATTATATGCTTCTTCATTAAACATACAGAAAAATATTTATTGTCTTTGTCTGTGTATGATTGTTGTGTGGCAACTAATAACGACTATCACTATCTATGACGTCCAGAATATAAAGCTGTTGAAAAGGCTTTGTCTGTGGCTATGTATTGCCAAATATTATTTGTCGAACTTTGGATTGCAATTTCCCGTTAATTTAGATTTAGTAAACATTAAATTTACAGCAGATAGCACCTTTTCATCTGCAAAAGTCAACGGAATTTTTGTATACTAGTGTAATAAGATGAGATAACCAGATTTAAGTTAAGCACTGAAATTTCTTCCCCAGACGTCAAGCTTTCACTGGACAGATAACAGGCGAAGAAAGGCGAAGAAATGCAGTTAATGATTTTACATATTCTATATTCATGTATATCTATCGTAACGTATCAATTGATCTAAATAAAGACAGTCATAATGTCTTTAAATTTAAATTGATTTAAGACTGTGATATAAACTTGAACTATGAACCGATTTTATAAAACTGTGATATCGTACTTGATTATATTACGAGGCTTGTCCAATATATTAGTGCACTGGTGGAATATGTTATATGTAGGTCGCATAAGAAAAAAAAAACTACAAAATACTTTGCATCAATCATTCCTCTATTGACAATTTAAACAAATTATGACGAAAATAGCAAATGCGACATTACGAGCAACAAAAAACTAATGCAATCTCAGCTGCAACGGCGCACGGTAAACGTTTTCTCAACTTTTCAAAGTATTCCCCATTACATTCGATGCATCGCCTGTGGCGGTCAACCAACTTCCTAAAAGTGGCCCTGTTCAAGTCACTTGGAATTGTACGAATGATTCTGAACTCTGCATTCTGAAGATCATGAAGTGTTTCGAACTTCCGTTCATTCAACCATCTTATTTTATACTGTAATATTGTATTTGAATAGTAATCGATCCAATTAAGACCGTGATATTATAATAAAATATCAAACAATCTTACATAAAATACGATATTATCTTTAAGTATCAGACAATTTATTGGTAAATCGTACTTTCTTTAAATATAAAGTTATTACTAAAAGACATATGTCAATAAATAAAGGATGTCCTTGCAAAAACTTCACTCAAAGATAGGTACTTAAATATTATATCCACAAAATATTAAAAGACATATGTCAATCAATGAAAGATGTACAATTAAAAAATAAAAAGTATGTACACATTGTGTTCTTGTTTGCTTTAAGATCGTTAGATAACTCAAAATTTACGTTCTTGTTATTCTATAATTGTATTTTATAAATTAAATGTAAATTTGTATGTACACATGTATATCGATTTAAGTTAGCCATAATGGTCGCTTATATTTTCTTCGGATTGAAAAATTTTAGCATCGTAGTAATAAAGTACATGACGTTAAATCATAACAAATAGGGCAACATGTCCGGATGATATGACGTCATACGGCCATTCAATCATTGAACGATATTGACCATGACTTTTTGTGAGTTGGTTGAACAATAAAGGCAAAAGGCGCGAATTATAGAACAAAGACCAGAACGTAAACTATGGCGTACAAAACTGCTACATGTATTACAAAATCTTAGAAAGAATTACTATCAAACTATCAATAACTTATTTATTTTATAACTTTAAAAGAAACCTGTTTAATATGACCTGACTTTCGAGAAAGAATTACAACGCCTGGGAAAAAATCAAACAAAGCAGAAACAAAATACACCAAAATAATTATAGAATTTAAATGCAATTTTTCTCATAAGATGCTTAAGGTTGAATATTAATTTAAGGTATGTCACATATCTATAATACATTCATCAGAACATTATACGTCCACAAGCCCAATATACTGACTAGAAAATTAAACACCATACAATATTGAAGAGAAAATAAATATAATTTTTTACATTAATTAAATTATTTGTCTACATCGAACAACTCATTTATTTAGTATTATCAAGTTACTATCATGATTATGTCTTCAATCACATATAAAACCTTGTGATATAAGAGGTAACTTTTACAAATAAAACAAGAATATTATGATTACTTATCTCCCGTGCATCACACTTTTATCTCAGTCCATGCTATCCAATTCTTATGTAAAATACGGTCAAAATTACCATAACAGTTTGAAACACAGCGAAAACAATGATAACAATTCTTTGTTCCATGGTCAAATGACATTGAATTAAACGCATTACTAACATTTTCTTGGTATAAAAAGATAAAAACGTTTATTCTCTGTAAAGAAATTTTAGTCTTGCATTTGCTTTTTTTAATGTGACTGATGTTACCATAGTGTCAAAGCTCAAACTTTTGTCTTTGATGTCTCCTAAATATTTGACCGACTCAGTCTACTTAAAAAGGGTACCATTACAAATATTATAATAAAATACAGATATTAAGATTTGATTCCATTTTAAAACTGATTTTAGACCCAAATAGAATTGATTGTGTTGTCTCTTGATGTAATGAAAATTTGTTATTATATATTATTGTGGTTTGCAATCAACTAACCAGTTACTAACTTGTTTTATGTCTTTTGTTATCAAACATGCAGTTTCACATCTTTTTTACTAGAAACTAACAAAATCCTCTGCTGCAGTAAAGGTTTGTTTTTACAACACGTGTCAGTGTTTACATCAATCAAAAAGAGCAGAGGACAAAGAAGGGACACATTTTACTTCTGAAAATGCTGAATAAGCGCCGGATATACGAATACATTATTGTCTACCTAATAAATTAAAATGGAGCCATCTGGCAACATCTTGTCTCAAACTCAACATTTTGAATTTGTCTAAAAGAAGAACATACCATGTTGTTATATCATACAAATAAAAAAGGAAATCTAGAAAAAAATAATATTTTTTATTTAGTATAACAATCATTCAACCTGATACAAATTTAGAAAAGTAAAACATAACTATAATATACTTGTATAATAATTTATAATAACACTAAAAAAATGAAAAGCCTTTTTCTTGCGTTTCTATATACAAAAGCTAGAAGTTTTATAAGATTTCAGGAACAACAACGCTGATGTGGTTTTCTGGTCTTTTGTTGGTTTTCATCGCCATTGACATTGGACATTCAGATGTTGGCGCGTCCTTTTGGCGCGTCCAAAATATCAGTTTTTGTCATAAATTACAATGCCGTAAAACACAATACAAATCGAGACAAAACAGTGTTTTTAAGTTTGTTTCATTTCCGTGTGAACACTTTTGCAAGCACTATGCCATTTCCATTAAAATATACGACAAAAAAGAGTAGGTCTTAACATTAAAATTGGTCGAACAGCTGCGCCGTTCTTGTTCAATTTATTTTTAATAAACACTTTTTATGAAGCGAGACAGTTACATTTTCCATTTAGTTTTATCAGCTTCTGTAAATAACATGTGCTTTTCACGTTGTTATTATTTTTTAATTACTTATTTAAAACTGTACGCCTATATCACAATATAAATATATCAAGCTGTCTGTCAGACTTACTTTATACAACCACCTATTAAACACCTATATTCACATTATATTTTAAGAAAGTAATTACTATTAACATAAATTATAAAATATACACAATTATACCTCTTAGCGCAGTATTTCAAGTCAAAACTAATCATCGACAGTAAAAAATTGATATAAATGCACCACCTCGCCTTGTATAAAGTAACAAGATAATGTCCTAAGTAATAGAAAGAGCTTCGAAACACGAGGCTATCTGATTTGTACGAGGGGGCTTAGCCCCCGAGTATCAATCAGATTGTCGAGTGTTTTGATGTTCTTTCTCTTTTGTATCATAGCCAAACATAATCAAAGGGCTGCAAGCTCTGTGGTATTTTCTGATCTTTGCAATCTAAATCGTACTGTATATCTGTATGTATTTTCCTGTATAAGTTTATTTTCATATACTATAATTCATCTTACAGGGCACCGAGATGCAGCGACTGCGTTTAGATTTTTTACTTTAACAGTTTGAGTTTGATACATACGGAATTCTGCATGACTAGAGTTGCATCAAAAATCATTTATGTTCAATTTTTATGACAGCCACACTTTATCCTTGCATATCGTGGGTACTTCCTTAAAAAGACACTTAAAAATGGTTGCCTCAACTTGGATTTAAACTCCAGACCTCTCACACCCTAAAGGCATGGATGGTATATGATACCCTTTATATCGATGGACAGCCAGTTAAGTGTCAATAGGAACGGACGGAGTGTTCTTGCCTGGAACTGTAACGGTTTAACAGACAGCAAACTATCAGACCCAGAATTTGTTTCTTTTTTGACGAAATATGACATTATTATTATTAGTGAATCATGGACCGATAATAATTCTGTTGTTGATATTGAAAATTTTATTACATATAACTTTTTTAGGAACTTTAAGTATAAGAAAGCTAAGCGTAATAGTGGAGGAATTACCATATATGTTAGAAATACTTGTAATGAAGGAGTGTCAGTAGTAAAAAATCACTTTGATACTATCATTTGGTTAAAGCTAAATGCAATGTTTTTCAATTTTGATAGAGATATTTACTTATGTGGTCTATATTTATGGTCTGATGAGTCGCCGGCTGCTAATGTAATTGATGCGGATCTGTTCGAACTATTAATGCAAGACATCTATTACTTTGATCAAATCGGATTTATTATATTGGCGGGGGACTGGAATTGTAGAGTAGGGAATAGGCCAGATTATATACTCTGTGATTCAAATATAAATTTTACGGACGATTTGAATTATATACCCGATGAGACCCTTCCCAGAACCTCATGCGATATCGTATGCAATAGCCGGGGATTAAAATTGTTAGATCTGTGTAAAGCAACAGGTTTGCGAATTGCTAACGGGCGTCTCCTTTACATTTTTAACCGCAATTCAAGCAGTACAATCGACTATCTTTTGTTGAAAGAGTTTCACGCACTTAATTCTTTTGAAATATTACCTTTCAACACATTTAGCGACCACGCAGCGTTGTCGTTTAATATAAATGGAATTGAGCCGTGTCGTACAGATAC